GTTTTTATACTTATATATACTTAGGTATTTGTTTTGTTTTTATAGTTTATATTATAAGTTCGTTGTTTATATAAGTCATATTTATAAGTTCTTATGTTTATTTGAATATGTTTTATTATAAGTTTTATACGTAATATATATGTGTAGTAGTTAGTTTTATTTTTATTTCGTGACAACGTATTCGCATACTAAAATGGTTTTAAAAAATACAAACTTTCTCCGTGGGATCGACCCTTACTTGCCCTAACTATAGTTTTTATTTGATTATATTGGGGGTTAGCTAAGGATATTTTATAAATTTTTAATTTGTTTTGGACCGCACGAATTTTGTACTATAAATGCTGAATTTTGTACTATAAATTTTGGCGCCGTTGCCGGGGAAAGTTTTGTACGAAATCAGTTTAGTATGTCTTTGTGTTCTTTGTTCTTGTTTGTGTGGAACCATGTTGATAAAGGCAACGCAAATCATGTGCTCAAAAAGTTTTCAATCTAAAAAGTTGAGAGAAATATGAAATCAGCATTGTTCTTTGCGTTCGTGCTAAAAATTGTGCCCGTTATGCTATTTTGTGAAGAATTTGGTACCATTCAAAAAAAAATTGCACGTCGAGTACTGTTTTTAGCATGCTTATTTGCTGATTTTTGACTTTTAAAGAGCATATATGCTTATTTTGGATAATCTAGGTGATGTTTTCTCAACAGCTCTTATTTGTCAATGCCTATTTGAAAAACCTACACTATTTGAAAGCAGCTTTTGAGGTTACGAATGCAATAGCCTAGCAATAGCAAACTTAAAGCAGTTTTTTTATTGACTGGATTGCTGAAATTGTGCTCAATTTGCTATTTTTGTGAGACTTTTGGCCAATTTTTCATAAAAATTGCATTTTGAAACTAATATTCATTACTTTTACTTGCTGATTTTTGTTTTTATTGATCATACTTGTTGCATTTGAATGACATAAGTGCTGAGTTGTTTCACTTTTGATGTATGCAACACGTGTATACTCATTTTTATAAGCATTGAATCATTTGAATGGTGTTCTTGCTGAATTTCATAAGCTATGCTTGCTGAATTTTTTAAAAACATCTGCACTTTTTAATTAGCTTATATGCTGATTTTTGTTCCTTGGAGTGCTCCTTTGCTTCAAATATGAACTATAATTGATATATCTTGCTTGGGGGCAATATTTTGAAGCATATCTTAATGTTTTCATACTGATTTTGAAGCTTTAAGTGCTAATTTTAGAAAAAATCTGATCCAAAGTGTCATTTTTTTAAAGAAGAAATCAGCAATCTTTTCTTGTTGTTTAAGCTGATTTTTGAGTTCCTTAAATGCTTATGGCCTAAACATTAATCCTAATTGTTAAAACCTGCATAGGAACTGATTCGAAGGCACATAGCATGACTTTACATTCATATTGTGATCCATACATGCTGAATTTTGTACTAGAAGGGCTAAAGGATCAAGAAAATCTGTTTTTTTCAAATTTGCTTTAGCTTCATATGTTGCATACTTGAATATGATTTTTGGTTCGTAAATGACCATCTAGTGATAATGGTGATACTTGTTTAATGAACTTCATCATCAGGAGTTCAGAAATATTTCTTTTTTTGATGCTTGTTTAATGGTCTATTTTTGCTCCATGTATGCTTCTAACCATTTATTTGAGTGAAAATGCAAGGGCTATTAAGTTATAGGTAGAAGTATTCTCCTTTGGAGTGAAAGTCTGCACAGAAATGGTGCAAAATCTGGATTGAAACAGCAAGTCTAGGTAGGAAAAAAAAAGTGAAATATGATCCAAATCAGTATCTCAGGTCTGGGCTTTAATTTCCTTACCTTTTTGTGTTCAAAGTTTGGTTTTTGATATTACAATTTGCACAATGAGAAGTTGAACTATAAAGTCATACTCTTTTCTGCACAAGTGAATGGCCTATCCCATTCAAATCTGATTCTTGAGCTTATATGGTTAATATCTGCATAGTATCTGCAGAATTTTGTCTTAGACCTACTGTCTCAAGTACCTAATGGTTGCTTTGTTGAAAATCTAACCTCTCGGGTGTTATAATATGGTGATACTTAAGCTGAAAATTGAGACATGTGCATTGTTTACAGCTGATTTTTGGATACTAAGGAAAAATTCTGCACTTTGAAAAGTTATTTTTGGACTTGTAAGCTGATTTTTTTGAGTGCAAAATGCAAATTTTACACTTTTTACAGCTTGTACGTGCTGAAATAGGAAAAAATCTGCAATCTTTTCTTGGTGTTCAATCTGATTTTTGAGTTCACCAGATGCATATGTGCTGAATTATGATGTTATTAGATGTATATGAGCTGCTTTGCATGTGCATGACATAACTAACCTTCTCATATGCAGCATTTTGTTTTGAAAAGTGCAAAAAGGCACAAGAATTGGTTTCCAGAACCAAATTTGAAGCTTAAAATCTACATTCTTTAAATCTGATTTTTATCTCTTCAAAGCTAAAAAGACTTGGTCTTAGCCATGTTTTTGCAGATTTTGGGTCCATCGAGCACTTTAAGGAAGGAAAAGTGATGAGTTGATGTTGCGTATACTTTGTTCTTTTTGTTGCATTTCCCTTTCCCCTTCTCTCTTTGCTAAGTCCGTGCTTGCTTAATATTGCCATTTGCATACCATATAGATGCATTGGGGACTATGCATATTTTAAGTGTGGGGGGAGTTGCTCATGCTTGTGTCATTGCTTAAATGCTTAAAAAAAAACTTTTGGGGCAAAATTTTTTTCCAAAAAAAAAATAGGTTTTGGGTCTAAATATTTTTGTCATTCTTAGTTGCATATCTCCTTATATAGAGCATTGTTTTCAAAATTGACCCAAAAACCTCTTTGTTTTTCTTGGGACTTTATTCTGAAAGATGGCAAGTGTATACTTTATAAACCCGCATTGAGTCTTATGCTCTTTTCTTGGTAAAAAATGACCTTTAAAATGTTTGAAATCCTTCTAGGAATCCCATAGAATTTTGTTTTCTAGAACTGGCCATCCACATACTATCTAGATGCTGCCTAATCAACCATTGCTTGATATTAAAATCTGAAAACAAAACAGAGAGAAACCAGTTTTAGGAGCCTTTTATTTTTAGAAAATTGAGTGATTTTTATATTTTTAGGCTTCTTGATGAACCTTGCTACCGCTGCTATTGAGCCGTTCTAAGCCATAGGATTCCGCTAGGAAACTTTTTTGTAGCAGCTTTAGAGCATTTGTTAGAACCCAAAAATCCACACCTTAATTCACCATCCTTGTAGGATTTCTAGCTCACTTTGTTTTTAAAATTTATATGAGCATAAAGTCTTAAGTCTGGGGGTTTAAAGTTTACTTTGTTTTTTCCTGATGATGATAAAAAGAAATAATGTACACTTTTTGGCCCTTGAACGAGGACGTTCAACTCTTAAGTGTGGCGGTATTTGATAACTCGGGTTTGGGTTAATATTTTTAATTCTCTTTTTGGCATTTTTAGTATTTTTATTGTTTAATTTTCATTTGTTTAGCTTTGTTTTATTTTTATTCCAATTCTTACAATCTTTTATTTTCTTTCATAAATAGTAGTTTTTTTAATCATTTTTTTTACATTCTATTATTTTTATTTTTCCTAACCCAAAATTATCAGATATCTTATTTTTTGGTGAAAAGTGTAGCAAAAGACCAAATTGCAATTCAAGTTTGGAAAAAGGAGATTGAATTTGGGCCAGAGCCCAAACCCATCATCAAAACAAGTTAATTGGCCCATCCATTGCTCTCCTGATTCGCACAAGAAAGAAAAAAAAAAAAGAAACGCAACTTCTTCTTCATGGCAACTGCGAAGTAAACGCTCCATGTTCGACCGGCGAAGCATTCAACGCATATCTTCTCCAACGTCTCTCCATTCAATTCGCCCACACGCTCCAATGGGAAGAAATTGAAGGTCGTTCACTCTTAATCTCCTATAAACTGAAGATGAATTGCAACAAGAAAAGGAAAAAA